TTATTCAAGACAGTCGAAAAGTAAGTCAGGTGACCTTGTGGGAAGAACGCAGTTGATTTTCGTCACGACATTGCAAACTATGTCACAACGTCACTGAATTATGTTCTGAAACGACATCTCCACATTGCTAAAAAAAAAAAGACCAGCAGACGCAGCATTTATGAAAGACATGCTATATAAAAGTGGCAAAAGGAGTGATTATTCAAGACATCGCAAGTCGAAAAGTAAGTCGGGTGACCTTGTGGGAAGAACGCAGTCGATTTTCGTCACGACATTGCAAACTATGTCACAACGTCACTGAATTATGTTACGAAACGACGTCTTCCCATTGCTAAGCTATGTCGCAACATCACTAAGCTAGGTCACCTACCAAAAAGGCTAGCGATTAAAATGTTAAGCAACAGCTATATAAAGATCCACATTTTGTTTTTGCCGACTCTTTTTTCCACTGGCCAACGACCAAGGGGTAAAAATAGCCTTGTTTTTATTTCACTTGTGCTCACAATCAGTTTCCCCCGCCACCCATGGAGGCGGCAGCGTACTCACATTAGCGCCATTTCCAAACATCTGCTGACCGAGTCAGAAGCGATCTGCTGCCTCTCGCGCCAGCCCGACGTGACATCATCCTCATCCTCATCAACAACACCTCCGGACACGCTCCTCCTCCGCCTTCATTAAAGCGCCACGCGGAGAGCTTCCGGCAAGGTGACTGCGGCCCCCCGCCGACTGCAGTGCGACTGGCTCACGGGCCACTCCGTCAGCTGCCTGCTCGGGTCGGCTCAGGTTCAGACGCGCAAACGAGGCCCGCCGGGAGCTGACGGATGGGCGAAATGATGTTGTAGCTTTAGCATTAGCATTGACACCCACTGGAACACAACCTCGCCACGACAGGTGATCTCTCTGAGACTGGCTCCAAACGCATTGCGCCAATAACACAAGATGGTTTCTGTTAGCATGTAGCGATGAAGGTTAGCACAAAGGATAGGTGGGAGGATGGATTGTTTGATAAATGAATTGAGGGTTAGGTGGATGACGGACGGACAGATTGACCCATGAGATGGAAATTCCAACACAAGCACACAACTAGCCTAGCCTAGCTAGTTCACAGTTGGCCAAACTTGCCAGTAACCACGCAAGCAAGTAGCAAGGCCTTGCTTTTGTAGTATAAAGTTGAAAGCATTTTGGATGGCAAGCTAACAAAATTATTTCAACAGGGAACACAAGCACAGTTTGCTCCCCGGCCAGGAAGTAGGTCTTAGTTAGCAGGGTAACGTTATCCTTGTTTCAACAAGCTAAGAGGGTATGATCATTTTGCGGGTAATAGGCAACTTGAGCTAGCCTAGCTGGCTAAGACTTAGCTGGACAACGGATGGACGATAAAGGACGAAACTGAAACATAAACAGATGGTCCATGGATGTGGATATTTTCCCGTAGCGGTTGAGTCTTAACTCTTAACGAGCTGGAAGGTGCCGCGGCCCTCTGCCTTGGCGGAGGTCCGCCAAGTTTGGTTTTCCCGCCGGCACCTGTGCAAACGAGGGCAACCCGGCAAGCCAGACGGCCGGGGCGGGCGAGAGGAAGCGGAGCGTCGCGCTGTCAAAACACAACCTTGTGGCATCAGCTCAGCGGTGGATTTAGCGGCTAGCTGTTAGCTGCCGCGCCGCCTGCGGCGTCTTGAAAATAGACACCGGCAAAGTCCCGGGCGCACCGCCGCCCTCATGTGCCGCGTGGCTTCCAGGCGGGTAAACACCAACACACTCCTACCAAATTCTACCACTTGCACACAAAAATGACATTTCGGTCGCCAGCTTTATATGCCAATTTGAAACCATAACCCAAATTAAAAATGAACTTGAAACTACCACCGTGTCTGCAAAAACCTAATTTGAAACCCCGACACCAGCTGGAGACCTGACCTGAAACCCGAACCCAGGCTGGCAATCCTGACATGCTACACTAAACCTTTTTGGGAAATAAGTGGCATATTAATTTTGAAAACCTAACGCTAGTTTGAAATTCTAATTTCATTTTGAAAGCGCACACTCGGCTTTCCAACCAGGGTTTGGGTTTCAAGAGAGTCAGTCAGTCAAACACAGACACACACACACACACACACACACCATGCAAATGCAGACAAAGCAGAAGGTGCGCGACTGCATATTTTTTGTAAATGCGAGACCTGATTTTTGAGGCAGTGAAGACCTTGGAGGGATCATATGTGCAGATACGTGTGTGTGTGTGTGTGTGTGTGTGTGTGTGTGTGTGTGTGTGTGTGTGTGTGTGTGGTGCGGGCC